GGGATGGGCAGAATGGTAGAATGAAAACCCTAACAACCAATATATCTACAATGGATTTTATTCTCTTTTACTAAAAAATAAGTAAGTGATTAGTTGTACCAAATACTAATTATAAGAAAACCCCATTTGGGTATTCCTTAAATCTTTGGCGCATGCAATTGAACAAAAAAAATTGAGATTACAGATGGGGGAAAGCAGTGGAGGGCATCAAGACAAGCTGTATTTTGATATTAGCTTATACTATATTTCTTAATACTAAGATACTTTGATAATGGACCCCAACTGATTTTGCCTTGATTTAATAAGAGATTGTGTGATGATTGATAAATCAGAGACAACAAATACGGTATTTCTTTACATCATACGTTCAGGAATCGCTGACCTTTTACAGGTACGGACTCGAGATACAATGTCATGTAAATATGCAGTCATTGGTCTAGTTATCAAAATTTGAAGGAATCTTGGAAAGTTCATGGATTTGATTATTAATTATTTTTTAGTTTTAAAAAGTCTAACTTAGTTGGTTTCTCTTGAGTAGACTTCAGCTCAAAGTTTCCTAGTCAATTTTATATGGCAACCCTTGTTCCTGAAACATTTGAAGCAGCTAATAAAATATAAAAACAGGAGGTAAGTTTTAATCAAATACAGGTAAAGCTGGAAGGTAGGTGCAAACGAGGACTGAACTTTTCATTCAGAAAAAAATATGACTTGGGCTTTAGATTTTTGTAACCGATTAGCCCATATAATTCTTCTCAGTATTAGGCTGTTACTGGAATGGTTATGTCTTTAGAAGAGATTGCAAAACAGATGGCACGCCTTCGACAGTTAAAGACATAAGATGGAGCCCATCATGATGGTTGGGCTGGACCTTTCAAAACAGATTGCAGAACAACTCTTATCTCATACCAAATAAATGAAAAATTTTACACTTATAATCTCTTCTCACAAACTTTCTCTCACAATCTCAATGTAACAGCTTGCAATTCTTGTAATGGGTCTCACCTGGGTTCCACCTGATAAATTGTAACTAACCAATTACGAACTGTCATGTCAGGATTGTGAGAGAAAGTATGTAAAAAGAGGTGAGTGTAGCATTACTCCAAATAAATACAAGTTTAAGTAAAGAGTAATATTAGATCTACAACTCAATCTCACAACCATCAACGTGGCAGCTCGTTATTGGTCAGCTCTCAAAATGAGTCCCGCCTGCTTGTATGAGTCATACATGCTCATTTGCGAGCTAACCAATGACGAATTATCATATCTGTGGTTGTAAGAGATGAATTAGAAGATTGTGAGACTTAGCATTATTGGTAAGTAAAGCTTGTTAGAGTTGTGGCTTCATGTGAAACAAAAACTAAAATGATAAAGGGTTATTCACACTTACACTGCCTCAAAGTATCAACAAAGTAACAATTTTTTTTTGCAAAGAATAGGTACGAGAATATTAAAAATATTTGTTACTATGTAGTTAATATTTATGTTAAAGTATACTGAAAGTATATGTTACATTATATCAAACATTTTTTTTTTTTAAAGTTTATTGAATATTTATGTTGAAGTATATTAGAAAATTTATGTTAAATTATATTTAAAATTTTGTAAAAATATATTAAACTTTACCTATGTAAAAAACTAAAAATTATATTTATATTTTAATATTTATTTACTAAAATATCTTTGTCAAAATTTTAAATACATTAACTTTAATTTTTTTCAATGATTTTAAATATAAAAATTAATATCTATTTGATAAAATAAAATATTTTCTGATAAATTTTTAATATTCTAAGGGGTTGTTTGTTTTTCAATCTAAAGTATGAATGTAACTAATTTGAGTATATTAAGATGTTTTAGGTTTGTTTGTTTTTTCAACTCATGTAAAAAACTAAAATATTACACTTTTATTTGAATGCAAAGACAGTCATGTCTCATCCTCTAGAACACGTAATTCCACTTGACACCCATTGCCGTGTTCTAAACACCATATCAAAAATACGCGTAGAGTTATGTTGTGCTACCCTAGTTTTCAATAGAGAACATTAGGCCAACCTCTTAGCCCGAATATTATTCCAAACTTCCAACTGTTTAATGGGTTGGTTGAGACCCCTTATGTTCCAACAAGCAATACTAATATGGAGAGTGTTAGGGGTTGGGGTGTTGTCCAAGCCACCCCCATCAGTTGAACTCAATGCATTGGATGGCTTGTGGCTAGACTTGGCAGAACGGGTCCATACCCACGGGTTGGCCCGTCCCCAGATAAATAATATTAGTTATAGGTTTGTAAAATTGGACTTGTTTTTTTTGGACCCGTACTTATTCGGTCCATTTTGTGAACACTGATTTTACTTGTGCGTGATGGCTTCTATTGATAAACATTGATTTTATATTTGTTTGCGTCAGCAATTTCCCATAGGTTAAAATGGGAGAGGGTTTTACTGCTTTGGCTAAAACATAATTATTTAATCTAAAACTAAAAAAGCTTCTCTAATTTTAACATTTATTTCTGGTATTTCTTGAATCTATTTGGAGGTTACGTAATACTTGTTTATACTATTTGGCATGTAACTACTGGTTTATTAACTTTTTTACGATTAATCTATCTATTTGGAGGATGTTTTGTCTTGGCTTGCCTTGTTTTGGTGTGTGGTGCATGGGAGGGTGTTTCAGGTTGCTGAGTGGAGTGGGCAAGAGTTGAAAACTGGAATGAACAGTATAGATGCCCACACCCACATAGGGTACGAGTCCAATGTTTTGAACCCCTATAAATCGATCCATTGTTGGGCCCGTACCCAATCCACGCACCCGTTTTGCCACGTCTGCTTCTGGCTAGAGGATTGAGTGGTGACTTATCCCTTTGCCTCGTCCTGTCATCCATGATAACGGCCAAAAAGACAGACAGGGGGAGTACATGGCTATTTCTGAACTTTCCCGCATGTAACTATATACATGGATACTTTGAGGGGACGTAAGTATCATTACCCCAATGATAAACTATTCATTAACTCTGGTGCGAATTTCTCTGTGCCACTTTTGAAAATTTTTTAGGCCAGAAGATACCCTCTAATTGAAGATGTGTAAAACACAATATTTACCCTTTCTTTTGTTGCAGCTGAATTCCCCATGAAAGAGCAGCCATCCCTCTACATCTGCCTTAGATGATCCCTTGCCTTGTAGCAAACATTTTTTGAGCTTTATTTCAAAACTCTTTATCAGTTCTCAGTCCTCAGCAATCAGCACACCCTGACTAATGAAAGCAAAAATTACAGCCCTTTCCCCCTTCTTGTGTATAAGTGTTCTTTTCTCAAGCTTCTTTCAAATTTCAAGTAGGTACTGCGGCTTATCATGAGTACCTGCTGCCCTTTCTTCCAATCAGACTTTCATCAGTAGTTGCAGCTCATTAGAGCGTCTAATCTTGCATCAAACTCAGGCTGTGTGATGCAGAAGATGGGCATATACATAACTGAGTTCAGTATTATGCCATTTACAACTATGGTTCCATAAATTCTTGTTCTACAAAATAAGCACACACTACTTAAATCCTTCCGAAAAAGTTCAAAATAACTAGACATAATGAGGATTGCCAAGAACAGAGTAACTCAAACTTCTGGTGTAATTACAAATGACCAAATACCAGAAGGCCATATTTCCATCTCAATTGCCAATAAACTAATATGCACTCAAAGAGACAGTAACCTAAAACCTTGGCAATCATATAAAGCACCATATATACACAAAAATCTAGTAGTTTTCATAAACATGTGATGTTGAACTATCAGCAGAAAATATTGCAGAAGTTTATAATATCTTGTTGGTTGTATTTTAAAAGGAATCCATCTAAAGAACCACCTACCTCAACACTGATAACTTGTACCAGATGTCAAACCTTTTACTTGTTCGATTAAATTATCATATTGCCTGTCAATATCAGTTTGGGAAAGCATCAGATGCTGCTCTGTTATGTCAACTTAAGATGGTGAGCTGTTTTCAGGTTCTCTTATCAAAAATCTACTGCAAGTATTAAATATGATAAAGTGATACATATAACAGTTAAGCCATAATTTTTGAAAAAGAAGTATCACCAAGTAGAATATAGTACATATACCAACTGGAAAAATAACAACACTTAATGATAAGAAATATAAAAGTAGCATCCTTCTTTAGACTTAAACACTATTTATTGTCAACATATAAAAATGTTTCATTAGTAATGACTCCTAAAACAAGAATTCCTGATCTTCTCTAGTATCAAATACAGAAAATATTAAGAATCCGCTTTCAATGATCAAACAGAGGAAAATATTAAAGTTTTGGCATTTTTTTTAGAATTCTCCCCCAATTGCAATTGGTCCTACCAACTATCCAGCATCAATACCTCCCGGACAAGATATATTACATCTGAAAAATAAATCATTCACCTAAAGAAGGCAGCAAAACACAACTCCTTCTGTTACATCAGATCATGTCCTATTATCGCAATTTCACCATATAGCACTTTACCCTATCAATAATTATATGGCTAGCTTGTAAACTTGTCTGAAAGGGATTCCCATATTGTCTAAGAAATGCAGTAGGCTATAATCCTTTTTTTTTGGTCGGCAGGCTACAGGTTATAATCAGTAAATACACTCAGAGAAGCAATTAATAAGTATTTTTCATTTTGCTTAGCTTAGATATAACAATTTCTTCACCAAAGGCTTCAAATGATATATTATTGAATACCTTGTGTTTTCAGCCTAGGTGAAGATTTGAGTGTATTTGAACTTGAGTTCATTTCTAAAGTAGGATTTGTGAAAGACAACTCTATTAATCATTCTCAAATGATAGAGAGTGAACTGTTTGTTCATATCCAAAGCAGCTGATGAATTTACTAATATTGCCTCATTACCAGAGACACTGGACTTTCTTTAAAAGGCATATCCTATTACTGATGGCATCTCAGAAACTCAGAGTTGGAGAAGAAAATCAAGATGGGGTAAGTGTCTTGATTAGTCCCTAATTGAGCACAAAGGTAATGATAATATTGATGGATTGATTTGTAGGCGGTAGGCCATTTCCAGTATCAACAGAGGAGTAAACAGATATATACATATAAAATCCATTAAATATAAAACTATATTTTCATAACTTTTACACAAATCATCCACAAAGATGATCAGGCAATGATCTACAAACAGCAATCTACAAACAAAATGCTATTATTCAGTAGTTAAACACTATAAACTCACCGGCCCCTTCTTCCGTGACTTGAAAGGAAAGCGTGAGGGCGGTGAAGGTGACAATTCAGCAGGTAATTGGGGTGCCTCTGACACACCAGTAAGCATTCCAACGACCTCCTCCATAGAAGGCCGACGAGCAGGTGACTTCTGCAAACAAAGTAAGGCAACTGTAATACAAAGCAAAGCTTGTTCTCGATCCATAGACTTTACAACAGCCTGATCAACCAATTCAATCAATCTCCCTGCTCGTGCAAGATGACGAGCCCACGACAGAAGATTTGCACGCTGAAACTCTGACATTGGCGATCCTGTGACCTGAAGAGGACGCCGGCCAGCAATCAAAACCAAAAGTAAGACTCCAAAACTATAAACATCAGATTTCTCAGATAAATCTCCACCACTATTATATTCAGGGGCAACATAACAAACAGTGCCACGCATACTAGGAGTACTAGTTATTCCACCACTCTTAGGAATCTCTCCACTTGCTCTTGAGAAATCACCACTAAGTCCTTCTAACCACCAATCCAAACTACCTTTACTACTTTTACTTCTATTCCTACTTCTACTCTTCTTCTTTCTCTCTACATTCATTTCTTCATCTGCTGGCCACCAATCATCATCACTATTTATTCCCAATGGTCTCTTCTTTGTCTTCTTCTTCTTCTTCTTCTTCGCTAGTTCTTCACAATACTCTTCTTTCCACCACTCTCTAGCTGGCCTACGCTTCTCCCGTTTCAAATTCTTTACATTTTCTTCTTTATCCTCATCCAATGAAACCCACCAATCTAATCTTTTCTGCTTCTTCTTCTTTTTATCAATTTTCTGAGAAGAAGAAGTTCCTTCAATCCAATTACTCTTCGGTCTTTCATTTTTTACCTCTGTTCCAATCCATTCAATCACGTAATCCTTCACTTTCACATCCTCTGGCGATTGTTGGATCACCGGCGCCGTAGATTTAAGAGAACTCTCCGGCGACTGATCCAAACCTATACTCAACTCCTCATAAACAGTTGTAGTCGTTGTTGTATTCACACTCTCAGTCTCTGCAACCGATCCACAATCCTCTACACCGCCCCCACCGTTACACTCCAACTCCAACTTCTGGTTTTCACTCTCCGATTTCAACCTGGCAAGTCCAAAATCCGCAATCTTCGCAGAAAAAAACTGATCCAATAATATATTACTCGGCTTTATGTCACCGTGAATCACGGGCGGATTCAAACTGTGTAAGTACGCAATTGCCTTCGCAATATCAACCGCAACAGAAAACCGCTTCTTCCACTCCATTAATTCCGGGCACTTCTTATGCAACAAAGCGTCTTGTAAATTCCCGTTATTCATCAGTTCATAAACCAATAACATTCTATGTCGTTTCGGGTCCGATGAAAACCCGAGTACCGAAACGACGTGGTCGTTTGATTCAATGGCCGAAGCAAAGAACAGTTCGTTATAAAACTCTCGTTCACCTTGTAAGGATCCGGAGTCCATGACTTTAACGGCGACATGTTGGTGAAGAGTGGAGGGGGAGGAGCACGGGAGGGTGCCATGAAAAACGGAGCCGAAACCGCCCTGGCCAAGGCGGTTGGAGGGAGAGAAGGAGTCGGTGGCGCGGCGGAGGAGGGAGTAGGAGAAGCGGTGGGGAGGTTTGGAGTCGGAAGGAACGGTGCGTTTTTTGGTGAGTTTATTGCGGAAGCAGATGGTGAGAATAAGGAGAAAAGAGAAGCCGGCGATGGCGGCGCAGAGTGGAGGAAGGAGACGAGAGACGATGGAGTGGTGGTGATGATGGGGGGCAGAGGAAGGAGTGATGAAAGGCGGAGATTGAGGGAGTGGACGGGAAGGCATGGTCGGTGAGGAGCAGGTAGAGAGAATTAAGAAAAGTAATAGCGTTGGTGTTTCATTGTAAGAGTTTGTGTGTTCTGTTTTGTCTTTTTCTTTTTTGCCCTTTTTACACACAGAGAGAGAGAGAGAGAGAGAGAGAGAGGTGAGCTGTAATGAGTGTGTACAAGTAGGTGATTTCGAGTTTGGTTGTTGAAGCTTGTACTTTTCTTATTTAAGAACCCAAAATTATTAAATTATTCAAAAATATCTTATTATATTATTATAATTTTACATTATTACTTTATTGATATATATTTTAAGAATTTGAATTTTAATCTGTCCAACTAATTCCTAATATTAAAATACACCAAGAAGAGAGCAGGTGATTTTTCTTTGTTTGTTTCTTCAAAATTCAAAGTTGGGCTTATTTCACACTGTTCGCTGAAGAATAAAATTATAAAACAATTATTTCTTCTATAATGTTTGACCTTTTCTCTTTAAAATACACCCAGTCTTAATTTATTATTTATTTTTTAATATCTAACCAAATTATGACTTTTTTTTTAATTTTTTATTGCAAAGTCTAACTTTGAATCATTTCAATTTGTTGGTGGGTAATTATAAATTATGGGTCATAATCTAATCTTCAATTATTTTCATTGCAAATATTTGTTTAATTAGTTTCTATTTTGTAATTGTTTGGTTAGTTCACAAACTATAATAATTAATTATCACTAATGACGGCTGACGAAACCCACTGTCAAATTCGATAATCGTTGAAAATAACTTGTAATTATGAAAAATGGTAATTGATTATGACAACCATATATATTCATTAAGTTGATTAGACAAAAGACACTTTAGTAAACCTAAATAAAATTATTTTTTTATTTCCTATAACAAAAATTTAAGATATTTTCTTATCAATTAAATTCCCAATGAAGATTACTTTATCTCCTCTAGGATATTTCTTTTTTCTTTTGGTAAAGAAATTACAATCATCTTTCTTTCAATGTAATGATATAAGTAAAAAGAAATTCATTGGAAATAGCGCAGCTTGGTAATTTTGGCAAAAGCTGTTTTGACTAATAACTTTATTGGTCAACAATCTTAATTTACAAGCTTCTTTGAAAAGTTTCTAAAGTTGATGAGAATCCTTTATTAAATTACTTGGAGGCAAGGCAGCTGTACAAAATTAAGTAATTTCTAATAATCAAATATTTTTATTCGTTTTTCTATTTTCTAATTATAAAATCTTAAGTATAAACTTAAATAATATATATCAAAGTATATCCATTTTTCGGTTCCCACGTGTAGCAGCTTACAGCGTTGATCTGGTTCCAGTCCAGGCAAATGAGACCAAACCAAACCCACCTGGGTCACATGCTAAACCCGTTCCACGTGGCGAGGCACGCTGTCCTTTCCGTTGGTGTAGCCGTGTACAAGTAAACTACGAAAATTATTTTTATATTTATTGTATCATTTAATTAATTCAAAGAGCGTAAAAGGAGGGTTTATTTTATACGTGAAGAATATTTCATATACAATATTTTTATATAATATTATATGATAAAATATAATTAATTGATATTAAATTAAAATTAAACTTTCATCTAATTATTTTTTACCATGAAATATTGTATAAAAATATTATATGTGTAATATTATTCTTTTATTTGTATATTATCAGTTAAATAATCTTATAAACCATTTAGATCATATTTGATTGAGTTTAAGCGATTAGTGCTTATAAACTTATTTAAACTTATAAGCTTATTTAAACTTATAAGCATTTGAAAGAGTAATACTATAGTTACTGAAGGATGTGTATCGAATTTATACACCGAATAACGTGACAAAATACTGACCTTTGATTCATTATAAGTTAATATTAATCAACGATCAGGATTTTGTCACATCATTCGGTATACAAATTTGGTGTGTATTTTCGGTAACTCAATCATTTTTCGCATTTGAAATATAAGCAGTTACACGTTTGATTAAAGTACTGACTAATAAATAGTTGACCTGTTTAGTAAAATGTGGTTTATAAATATATTTTATTATTAAAATGACTAAAAATGATACTATATTATTTCATCAATTAATAAATTATATGATAGAATTTTAAAATTAAATAAAGATAATGTGGTAATATACTTGGTTCTGTTTATAAGCTGGAGTATTTTTTTTTTTTTTCTTTTTTACTTATAAGCCCAAAAAACTTATAAATAAATATCAACTTAATTTTAGATTTTATAAACTAGTTTGATCAGCTTATAAGCTCAAACAAACACCCTCTTAGAATATAAAAAGAAAATGGACCTACCTAATAAACTAACATGAATTAAATTTTGGATTATGAATCTTATGTCTACAAACTTTAATTATATAAGAAACAGTTTCATTTGTAAATTAAAGTTTATGGCCAAATGAAGTCCTTTATCATTGTAATTCAATTCTAAAACTGATCTCATAATTGGAATTTCAGAATTGAAAAGTGATCCAATTCTCTAATGGGCATCTGGATTAATTAATTAATGAATTAACCATTACAATTCGAGTTTGTAGAGTAACGCATTTACAGATTTTCCATTTAAACAAAAAAAAAAAATAAAAAAAGATCTAATTAGCGTTTCCCTTAAGGCTTCTCAAATCAACAACAATGAGGGTGATATTATGGTGGCTTCCTCGTCCAAGAGCGAGACGACAAAGTATAGCAGCTGCAAACTTGGTTTTAGAGGGGAACATGAGTTGTTGAGGTTGGTTAGTAGTAGAAGCAGTAGCAGGGCCGCCGTCTTTGAGACATGCGCTTGCTATTTCGCAAGCCAATTCGTCAGAAATCACATCCCAAATGCCATCGCTCGCCACAATCAAGCACTCGTCTTCTGCTTCTCTTTGGGTGATGGAGATCTCAGGTTGTGATGTTATCACACTCTTCAAAAAGTTGTCTCCTGCAGCTTGTTTATCAAGTAATTAATCACAACAAGTTTACTTCTTAATCATACTCTACATCCATCACCCAACTAATCACAATACCTATAAATTGACTCTCTCTCTCTCTCTCTCTCTCTCTCTCTCTCTACATATATATATATATATCTTACAATTAATACAATAAATTGACTCTTAAGATTCCCTATCTTACTCAAGTACTGCGTATTTTTAAAGCAAGAGTGTCTATAAAAGTAATTCAAACACTAGATTGCTTTGGGTCGGCTTAAGCCAACCAAATAAAAAATTAATTATATGCATATAGGCAAGATGTGTTTCTTTGGTATGTATGTGTTGTCGATAATATTATCTAATGAAATTTATCCGATCGTTCACTTTAGAGTCTCGAAAAATTAGTTAAGATGGTCGTTCATTTTAGGATTCTGAAAAAATACTTAAAGTATGTATACATTGATTCAAACACTCCCGATTAAATAAAGGATTACCTAAGAATCGTGACATTGTATTAAGAATGCCATAGACTCTTAACTCCATTCAGATAAACAATCTTCCCACCTGCTGTTTCAATTCTCTGCATCCCATCTGATCTTTCTGCCTGTAACCAAAGCTAAACAACATTTGAATTAACTCTTGACAAAATTCAGTATTATTGCCATAATGTTTTATTAAAAATATGTGAAAAGAAGATCAGCATTCCCAATAAAGACGTTGAACAGCTACACGTGGCAATAGCAGATGCCAACCTTGTGATAGACTGAAAGAGGAATAGGTCTGCCATCGCGGCACAGAACAGCGCGTGAATCACCACAGTTGGCGACCACAATACGACGAGGAGTCACAAGTGCCACGACGGCAGTGGACCCCACGAACGCTATGTCGACCATCTGCATCTGCTGGCACCTTGTACAAACGTAAACATTTTCTCCACAAGCGCACGTGCTCAGCGCCACTTCAGCCATCCTCTTGAAGCTCCTCTCTATACTCCCACGCACTACATCCTCCCACTCCTCTTCTTCTATCTCTCCATGGAAATATTGTTGCTTCTGCGGGGCCTGGCCCAAGCTGAAACTGCTGCCATTATCACTTGCAGCGGCTTTGGAAATATACACGCGCGTCAGTTCCTCCGCCATTATTTTATGCATCATCTTCTTGCAAAGCATAGAGACCTGCATTTCTCTCAATAAAAATTAAAAGAATTTATAATTAAAGAATAAGATATAGATTAATGGGTGAAAACATTATTTAAAGATTTTTGAAGTAAAGCATTTACATGAGATCCTCCATGGCCGTCGTAGATAGAAAAGAAATGAAGAGGATTTCCGCCAAAAATATCTGGGCGACAGAAGTTTTCCTTCACAAACCAGGCGTCGTCCATGGTTTGGCTTAGGCCTTGGATTGAAATGCAGCCAAAATCTGGCATTGGATTCTCCACCAAAGACGGCGTCAGCAGCCCCATTTTAGGTGGCTGAAGCTGAAGCTTTGTTAAGAAATGAGGATTTTGAAGTGGAGTTTGTCGCGGGGTTGATGGCTGAAACTGAGGCTGAGATTGAGATTGAGATTGAGGCAGGGAAAGCTGGGCTGAAAAGGTCCTCATTCTTCTCATTTCTATTCTACGGCGACGGCGCTTCCTGCATTTCTCTGGAGTGTCACTGTCAGAGTCATCGCTAGGTATTCTTGACAAAATATCAATTGTTGGTGTCATTGTACAGCAGAGCATGAAAGTGTAATTTGTGACGAAGAAGGACAAAAGAAGAGGAAAATGGATATAGATATAGTTAAGAGAAACGTGAAGGATTGTTTGGTGACTCGTGGAAGAAGAGGAGCGTTGAGAAAGCGCCACGCGAAGGCAATGCATGAAGCCATGAACTGGTTACTGCTTCTCTGTACTTGTTTACGTTACAGTAGATTTCCATTTAATAAAATCATATTCTTCTAGTATTATAGGATAACCCCCCCCTTGCGCCAATTAACTCAGTGAATAGAACAACTTTGAAGAGTAAATAATTGTAAATTTATCAACACTACATTTTGACAGTTACAGCTGCTACAGGTATTGTATCATGTTATGTTTTTAATTAATCTTTGTACATTTCTACTCCTCAACAAAAAGAGACAAACCATAACTATAGGAAACAACCAGAGAGCAGAGTAGAAGAAATCAGCAAACAAAACTCATTCCTTCACTTATTCTCCTCTCAATCAAACAATACTCACTAAAACTAGAGCCTCATCTTCTCACTCATAAATTAACAATACATCTTGGACGTTGAATCTATAGCCAATACATTCATTTTTTTTTTTTCTCAGGGTAAGTAAGTATATTAATCTAAAAAGAAATATGTTTCAGAGTAACACTATCAGTCTAAAACCATAGAACACAACAAAGACAACAGAGCACAAAGGCCCAAACACAAGAGCACATAGGCTCAAACACGGCACATCCGCCCGAAGGAGCACGAAGGCTTGGAAACAAAAGCAAATAGGCACAAACGCCCAAAAGAAAGAGCGCACAAGCTCAAAAAAGCCACATACGCCTAAAAGAGCACGCAGGCTTAACAAAAGAAAGGAAAGAAACTAAGATCGTCACCCTTTCTTCTTACTCTTCTTACGGTGGATCTAGAGGTCTAGAGTGCTGGGACTGGAGCATGGGCCACTCCATGTCAGGGTGGAAGTCCCCTTCGACATCTTTGGCATTCGTGTTGCAGTGGGCAACAAACACCATGGCTAGCGACCCTTTCTAATCATCCATAGAAGAATCGACCCCGGCTGGTCGCTCACCCCTCTTTTAAGGGCATTGAAAGGCAAAGGATCACAATCTTCTACAATTAGAGCACCGCCTGGAGGACTTCCTCCCACCATTCATCTTTTATTTTATTACACATTTCTTCATACATATAAATTTTTCATAAATAATTCATCAGATAAAATGAGCAAATTAGACATTTTGTGTGATCTACAATTTGAATCAACAAAAAGTAGACGTTGAACCTGGGAGATTAAAGTTTAATCCTTCATGGAACATAAATTAATCAGTGTAACTCTCAACCCCATCTAATAGCTGTATCCATTCACCATATCCATCAAAGGAGTCTTTGATTTAGTCTTTATGGTTAATTAGCAATAACTACAAAATCTTACCGACGTTATATTTGGTGTATAAGATGATTCTCACCTCCATGTTCTGATTCATGTTTACATATTTATCCCATCAAAGCCAAGAAATTCTGCAAAATTTGCATTTGCAGAACATTAAGTAAGAAATATATGCCTATGCTGGTGATTTGTAGTTTACAAACTTAGAATTAGATGATACACATAAAAGTAATAATATCAATATTAATATTGACCCCTCCCACAAAGAAATGCTGGCCGAATGAAATAGCTAGCAATCAGTTTAATGCTTTCCTTTCCATCTATCACCTATGTAAAGGTATTATGTGCATGTTTCTGTCAACATGAGACCTGTACAATGTTCATAATATCATATTCATATCAACATCTATCTATGTATTACTCAGCTGACTCCTCTTAAGATCAACAACTATGACACTTATGTTGTCTGAGCTTTTCCGTCCCAAAGCAAGTCGAGTTAGCAGTGCAGCAGCCAATACACTTCTCGTTGGATACAATGCCTCAGCCCCTTCATCTTCTATCAGTGGCCTTGCATTGTCCTCTCTAGATGCAACACCTCCATTGTTTTCTTCTTTAAGACACTCAGAAGCTACTTTACAAGCCAAGTCGTTCGATAGAACATCCCACAACCCATCGCTAGCAAGAATTAAACACTCATCTTCAGGTTCCCTTTTTGTAAAAGTTATTGCAGGGTCTGATGTCACAATTGGTTTAAGATACTTGTCCCCTGTTCAAGGAAAAACAGTTAAAGAGCATTTACAATTTCATCATGACAGGAAACTGAACAAAAACTGCATAATTTCTTAATCACAGCTAGCTAATATAGATACAGCTTACCAAATGAAGAAATTACAGGTAGAGATGTTCGTATAGTTACACAGATCATTGTTTGCAATGTGAATATTTCCAAGGAAATTAATGTACCAGATTAGGGGACTTGAATTTGTTTTGATCCCGGATCAAAGCGCACAGGCTAAAAGCAATGGAACAAGTTCTATCTCTCCCCCCCTCTCATAGAAAAAAAGAATCAAATAAACCAGAAGAACAAATTTAAATAATTTTAAAAGAATGAAACACTCAATAAATGCGTTGAGACCAAATTGGAGCTTTTTTAATTTTACAGAGCTCGCAGATGATCTCAATAGGTAGAGTTTTTTTTATATCTTAAGAGTAATAATAATGATCTTATGTCTTGTCTACATTGGCAGTCAACCCCTAAATGTAATTCTTCCGATCAGGCACCAATCAGCACCACTGTACTACAATGGATGTATGCAACATGTTCATCTTCATAGGTGCAGTATGCTAAAACTCAAAGACCATTTTTGCCAACATATCTACTGGAATACATAAGTTCCCAATCAGAGATCCAACATCTTCCAAGATCTAACATCCAAAATGTGGCCAAAAAAGATTATCAGTATTGGATTATTATCTGGTAATTAAGGAATGGCCATTACAAGGTTTGCTATACCAAATTTGTGGAAGATAACAAGTAATATATGATATTGTAAATCAAGTTAAATGGCGTACATCATTTTTTGCATGTTGTCGTTAGCACTCAACTTGGCAGCTGCATGGATTAACCTGCTTGACACACAAATAGGCACAATTCCTAATGAAAACTAATACAAGATCCATTTTTTTGAGGTTAATTAAAACATTCAAGTTCAACATGATCCAACTGCAAGGTGATATAAGAAACATCCTATAATTAGCAAGGCTCCAGAATATCAATGAAAACCAGAAGGTTTAGTTGTATTTTTCACTTACTACTTGCCCTGCATTAAAACCCGTTCGCCATTGGTCTTCAAAATATAATATATTCTAGTTTTCATTATAATAGTGAAATGGATGATTAAACTTCTAGAAGCACAAACCCAAAGGGGCAGGATCAATCTTCAGGGGATGTGTGTTTTATTCATAACTCTAGGATCAGCAAAACTTCAGAAAACAATAACATTTTCTGATATTTGCCCAATAAAGCATTCTATTAACTCATTGTAATCTGTTCTAACTAATATCCTAGAACGTAGATGTCATATAATTCACAGCGTCAGAAACTGAGACATAAACCTGCCATTAGTTACAAAGCCCTGCAACACCGAGTACAGAAAATCCAAAGTACATGTATTCTATCATTGTAAAAGCTAACTCTTTCATCTGTTTAATATGATGTGGTATAACTAAACCATATAACCCAATAGATAATTAGTGGGGGAGCACTTGCAGAAATTCCTACTAAAATTCTGAAAATATAAGTAAACAGATTGTTTGCCACCTAATTTTCATACTCTTAAAAATTATGTTCCACCGGACTGACCAATTGAAAATTCCAGTAAATTTATAATAGGTTACCTATAGCGCGAGACATAGCAAGAATGCCCTCAACACGTGCTCCGTTCAAAAATATTACTCTTCCACCAGCAGCTTCAATCCTTGCAAGTTCTTCTGGCCGGTCGGGCTGCATAACATGTTAAAAATATGCTGCTGTAACTATTATTTTAGGATCAGTAACTCGATGGAAATATAACCCAAATATACTGCTAAAAAATATAGAAAGAAATTGCTCATAAGGAATTGTTTTGGACAGTAACACTATATGCAAATATTGTACTATACAATTATCAACAAGAAAAGTAAACTTGACTCAACAATATATTTTGCCCAAAATAGAGAAGGAAGTTTAGCACAAATGTTGTTAAACATATATTCGTCCGTTAAACTAGAGTAGCTTCATTCTGCTATGGCGTACAGACTACAGAGAGCTAAGAGAATTGCCATATTTATAACATCAATATTATTTTATACCCATAAATTATATCGAATTAAATGAAGAAAAATGATTGAAATTTTAAGTCAAGGGTTCATAATTTTTTGAAAGGGACAGGTGTTCCCCAATCATAGCGAGTACAGTTGACATGAATATACAAAACTCAACTAACCTTGTGATCACAACTGAGAGGAATTGCTCTCCCACCTCGACAGAGGACGGCGCGTGAATCTCCACAATTGGCAACAATGATGTATTCGGACGTTACAACTGCCACTACAGCGGTGGACCCACTAAGAGCTGCCTCCATTGAGTGGCACCCACAACGGTACACCAAACTTCCACATGGGCAACTACTAATGGCCACTTCGTCCATTCTTTGGAAGCTCCTCGTCACCACTGTCGTCCACCTGTCTTCCCATTCAGCTTCCTGCTCAAGCTCCTCTGCTCTCGAGGTGCTACCTTTCCCACTTTCATTTTTGGTCTTGCAACTCACGCGCGTTAGCTCCCCTTCGAAGAACACGTGCAATTTTTCTCTGCACAATGCTGCCACCTGCATACCCATGAATCAAAATTCATAAAGTCCTTTTAAAGATCACATACAAATGACTGAAGTGCCCCCGAGTTTAAGGCAAATTCAATAGATGACAAACAAGGACTCAATTGACTTTTCAACACTAAAAGGAAAAAATAAGGGAATTTGAGCAACTACGTGAGGTCCTCCATGACCATCGTATACACCGAAGAAATGTAAGGGTCGCCGCCGGTTAATCTCTGGATGACAAAGACTCGTCCGTACAGAAATTGTGTCTTCCATCTCTCGTGCCCTCCCAGATACCGAGATCGTCCCGTACACCGGCTCAGCCGAGTCTGTCTCGCTTAACGCCGCCTCTGGACCCACCGGTTCCATGTTCTCGCCAGAAAAAGCGGATGTAGAAGTCGCAGCCGGTGGAATATCACTCATCTCCGACATCGTGCGCATACGCTTCCTCTCCGTCTGGTTTTCATTTCCACTATGGCTGGAAGGCTGTCCAGAACCAGGGGGAGAGGTTCCTGCTAATCTCCTCATTCTTATTCTCCGTCGCCTCCGCTCCCTGCATTTCGCAGGCGAATCGTCATTTTCATCGTTTAGCATTCTCCTACAAAACTCCGTCATCTTAAACTATTTGTAAAAACACATATACGGCGAACTCTCATAGCTGTCGCCAATCATTTCTAAAAAATGTCAAATGGCACGTCATTCAGAGAATGAAACAAAAGTGTTATTGTTTTTGAAACGTAAGAGGGAAAAGAGCAACGTGTTGTGTTTTCTCCTTTTCTTTTACAGTATTAAGCCTCCAGGGCAAGCCAGCTCTACGGGCAATTGCTCTGTCTGCCCGAACTGCCCTACACCGACCAATCTTCACTGTTTTGGCGACACGTGTTTACCTTGATGTTGTGTTTTTCCCTTTAAATGTCTTCCAATTCTTTCTTGCTAGCCAAATTTCGCGAACCGCGAAGGTTTTGGGTTAGAGCCACGTGTCAAAAAAGCCCATAAATGTGGAGGCCCACGGCAGAAGGACGTAACATGTGGTCGAATGACAATGCTCCACCTACGTCAGATAAAGAAATTTAGGTGGGCCGGAGTGCGGAACGTTGCGGTAGTCATTTTCAACTCTTTTGCTTTTTTTGAATTTTTTCTTAAACTCCTGGAAATTTTAACATACGTGGCAAGGTGCAGTGGTACCAGCGTCGTGAGAATGACGTGTCTGGTCCAGCGTTAACACGTGGGACACTTGTCATAGTCGTAGAAGTAGAGTCAGCGTCACACGGTCTACAGGTATCTGTGTGCTCACTCAGTTGCCAAAAATAGAACTTGGGCCGCTCTTGCTTTCATGAAATTTCAATCAAATAAGGTTAAGAGCGTAATTGTTAGAACTTAGATTTAAAATTTAGGGAGAACGACATTTTCCCACCCAAGGTTTGGCGAGACGACCTTTTCCACCCTTCAAGTTTCAAAATGACACTTTTTCATTCTTCCTTAGGTTTTGTTATGTTTTTCATAAATATTTTACCGAAAAGACAAAAATGCTATTAAATATTTGACTTCATAAATTTTTTATTATTTTTTAATTAGCCAAAAAGTCAAATATTGAAAAGTAAAAAAAGATAAAATAATTAACCCTACTTAAAAAGTTATGAATAATGTTATGGAATTGTTTTAAGTTAAATGACATTCATGTTTATTTATAATATCATTAATATCTCATTACTATTATTCAATAATCTATTAAATATCTAATGTTTTTCATGATATAATGTTTTTCATTTTTACTAATTAACATAAAATATCAAAATTTCTAATTAATTAAATAAACAAAGGAAAAAAAGATATCTTTACACTTGAACTAATAAATAATCGAGTAAAGACATTGACTTAACTAAATTTTAATTTATAATAAACTAATTAAAAAATTAACTATTTAAATATATTTTCGTCTTTTCAATCAAATATTAATATAAAGCACTAACAAAACTTGACGAAGGGTGAGAAAGTGTCATTTTGAAACTTGACGGGTGAAAAAGTGTCATTTCACCCAACCTTGGGTGGGAAAATGTCGTTCTCCCTAAAATTTATAACAATATGTAATACTGATACAATGGTGGCTCCCTCGAACTCTTGATCTTGTCAAAATTTAAGAAAAATAAATAATTTTTTTTTGCAAGGGTTTAAATTATATTTCAAATTACAACACATTATATTTTCTTAATATGATTTTAATTTGATAAAATACGTAATTTAAAAGTTTATCTTCTCAAACACATTTTGATCACCGCCTCTCTTGTTTCTACCTCTGTCCTATTTTATTTTTCTCAATTTTTAAATTAAAAGTTTTCAACTTCGGTTTCTATTTTATTAATGCTATAATAAATTCAATTTTCATTATTCTATATCAATATGATCATAATTTTCTACGTACCTATACTTAAAAATTAATTTATGATTTCCTTCTTGCCCTGATATTTACTAATGTGTAAAATAAGTTTGAAGTTAGATGTTATTATCCATAAATGTTCTCAATAACGTAATATTAATAAAAATAAAAAACAATTATGAAAACATATCAAAATGAACTGAGATCTTGATGTTCTTTAACAATGTCAAATGGGATGAAATGAATTGATAAGCCACCCGTGAGTTTAGCAATACCCTTATCCGAAAGTTTAGGCAGTGGATCAACACGTGGCGATCAAGTATGTGGAGTTAAAAAGAGAACTATTTGATTGGAGGGCGGTGGCGGCGATGACGATGATGGCGATTCATAACTTCAAAGGTCAAATTACATCAGCTGTGCCGTTTTATCTTTTCCAAATTTTTTTTAGCCCTTCTGGATATGAACAGTTTGATGAATTACATCACCAATTATAAACTGAAGTTGATGTAGCTTGTGACATATAAATATAATTCATTTTTTTTTTTTTTTTTCATTGGACCGACTTAGACATTTTATGCTGTCCACATATACATACTTTCAGTTTGTTTTCGCTATGACTTTCCCAATTAAGATATCATATAAGAAATCAAATTTTATTTTATGAGATATCATATAGTGGTGTTTCACATAAATGATTAACAAATTTATTAGGTATAAGTTCTTATACTATATGAATAAATAATATTAATTATATTTAATAAGTCGAACTATTAGGGAAAGATTCTATATAAATAATTGATTATTTCTATGATACTCATGGATTATAGTCGGAATTTTGACTCAACTATTAGGTTAAAATAAAACAAAGGAGTTAAAAAGTTTAACGAACTATTGCTTTTTGAATTGTATTATAATTATTATTATTTTTACTCTAGATTACCCTTTACTTTTTTTTCTTGATTGACAAAAATCTTTTGATTCAAGTGATAGTTTTTATTAGTATTCAACAAATTTTTTTAATCAATAATTATCATTTACTTCAACAAAATATACTATCCCCACCAAAATGATTGAGTGTAAGGCCATCTCCTCAAACTTCAGTGGTATTATTATTTTAAGCCAACCTATCAACTAAATTCCCCTCATCTTTACTATGTTGAATGTGGTTCATACTTTGTATGAGGTTAACGTATTATTGGCGAACGCTAACGCACTTAGGGGTCTCGCTCACTAGTGAGTGGACGGGGCTGAGGGGGCAATGTCCCCTACACGATAAGCCCAATTAGTAATTGAGTTTGGAATAGTTTTGTAAATATTTGGGCTTGAAAGTTTTTAGCCCAAATGTGATTAGGTTTACTGTTATATATGTATTGTAATAGCAGAAAAACCTAGTGTGAGAAACTATATTGAGAGAAAGGAGAGAGGAAGAGTGAACGGCCGTCATTACTAGCTTTTTGAAACTCAATAAAAACTTCTCTATATTGAATGATGGACATAGTTCCTATATTGGGAATGAACCGGGGTAGATTGATTGCCTTCTTTACTTTTCTCTCCATTATTTAGTGTGTTTTGGCTATTATTTTTTCAACATATTATAAGCAGCAGCAGAAGTAAAATCATGAATGGAAATAATATTTAGCCCCTATCTTTGTTTCATTGTCCGCTAAAGGTTAAATAGTATTTATATAAATATAATAAATACTAATTAAAAACTTTTAGGAGAATGTAAGACATTGTTAGATATTTATTAAAGATTTGGAACATTTCATTTGATTCAAGTAATATTATGGTTATAACTATTAGTTTTTTATTTGGCCAATATAATAATTACAATAAATAGTTTGTGTTTTGTAATAGTTTCACTAAAAAATATAAAATTTAGAAAAGAAGATCAAGATCTCAACCTTGATAAAAAAGAAAAGAAAGGTGGTAAGCCGACGAACCGTTGCACGCTTCAACTAGGCCACTGAAGAAGGCAAAGGCTGGGTGAGAGACTAGGGCAACTTACTTAAACTGAAAAGAAAAGAAAAGATGAAAAAGAATTTAAAAACTCTTATAAGAATCAGATGCTTCCATGTACAACGGTTATGATTGACGCACTTATACTTGCTTCAAGTCCATAACGATATAAGACCTAAAAGTTAATTCTTTTACGAGAGAAGAAACGTTAACTAATTTGATAACCATTACAAATTTTACTTAAATTATGAATTCTAATTGACCTTTTTTATTTTGTAGAATATATTGTTTTGATTGGTATATGATATTCCAAGGAAGATTTCTTTTTTATTATGACTTTTTGCCTTGAATAGCTTGTATTATATTAGGCATAAGATCCTGAAATATTGTCTTGCCTTAGATATATTCATGGCTTGCTTGTACAAGTATAGTATAGTATTGTGAATGAATATACACACAATTCTATCAAAATCTTCATGGTATCAGAACATGGATGACGACAACTAAATAATAACAATTGTGAAGGGATCATTGAGTATGGATGTGACTTCCCCATACTACTTGCATCCCTTAGACAGTCTGGGACAAATATTTGAAAGTGAACTCCTCAACGAGACCAACTACAACGCTTTGGTTGATGATATGAGCAATGCGTTATGAGCTAAGAACAAAATGGGGTTCGTTGATGGAACGATCCTTAAGCCAAAAGTTGACTCTGACGACATGATGATTTGGATGCATTACAACGCAATGGTGAAAGGATGGTTGAGAAGCGCCATCAACAAAGAGGTTAGAGGAAGTGTTGCTCATGTCGATACAACGAGAGAGATCTAGGTAGACCTGGAAGACATATTCGGTCAGGGCAGTGCACCAAGTGCATACCAAGTTCGGTGGGCGATTTCTCTTTTGCATCAAGAAAAGACGTCGATAGCAGCGTATTACAACAAACTCAAAGGCCTCTGGGATGAAATGCAATCAATTTCTTCCATCCGATAGTGCACTTGTCAAGAATGTACATACGGAGCTTCGAAATAGCTTGCGGCCATAAAGGAGAAAGAAAAGTTGTATGATTTCTTGATGGGACTAGATATTGGCACTATCAAGACACATATCCTTGGGAAATGTTTTCATCTAAAACTTAAATAATGTGTGTGTTGAAAACTATCAATTCAATTAAAATTAATTGAATTGAATTGATATTTGAAAAGTGAATTAAAAAAATCACACAAAAGAAAAAAATAAAAAAAATAATTTTTTGCTTGGTTGAACTGCACAAAAACCCGTCGGGTTAGGGTTGGCAGACCAGGCCAGGTCGACCCTTTTGAACGAAGAGGCGAGTCGGGTTAGGCCCGGCTAGTAATTTGCACTAACCTGGTTGGGCCACTTTTCCACCTCTATTGATGCCACTATGTGAGTGCTATGATACTCAAAGGGGCACCAAGCCAA